CTTTGAGTGCTGGAGGTGCTGGTTTAAGGCCCCGGTGAATGCTGTAATTGTTTCACGCAGACTTCTAGTAATTTTCCTCTGGTCTTCTGATAGTAAGATCAGACGCCCGTGTGTATTGTTGCGCACGTAAAAAAATCCTTTGGCACTGGAAATCGAAAAAAAAAAAAGCAGCCTAACGGCGCTGCCCGGGCAAAATTTGGATTTAAAAATCTTACCAAAAGTATTTCAGTTTCCTCGCCGGTGCTACGGAGTTCGTGAACTGCGCTGAGATTCTTCGGACTCAGGCTTGAGTTAGAAGTGGAACGAAGCACTTATGGGTTACTACCCGTGTGCCATGATGTTGATCCGTTGTTTAAACTAAACTTAACTAAACTGGAATATTACACGCTGTAAACCACATTACCTATCGAATGCCGACTTGTCTATAAAAAACTGGGAGCTTGTTTCAAACATACAACTCAAGGGATGAAAAAGATTTGTACGTTTGCTTCAGCAGATTAAAAACGGCAAGAATCCTATAACAATTATTTAAACAGTGTAAGACCGTATCTATAATTAGCTCGGACAGTCGCCGTTATATTTAGCCATTAAATAATTTTAATATAAAGTTATGCACATTCGCTGCGGGCTATGGGTCGACGTTGTCTATTTGAAGAACATAAAAAACTCATGCCTTAGGCATCATGTGACACTTTCCAAGGGCCATCAGGCAACAGTACATGCATACATTATATAGACCACTTCCCTAGTTACCTTTCCTAGTTGTAAACCTGACAAACTTTTTGAACGCCTGCAGCCAATATTTAAACAAAATATTATTGCGGGTGGCGTAAGAAATCAAGGATATGCATTTGATGTACAGAGGTTATTTTCCGAAATTATGAATATACGATAAATTTGTATTAGTCAGCTTCCGGTCCGTTATCAGATGGCCAGCTGTGACTTAAACTAGACTTGACTTGGCAACTTGGTAAACGTAACGTTGATCTTTCCACGCCTCGCCCATATACACACTAGCTCACTTCTGATTGGTAGTTCCTGCACCTGTCACCTTGGCACAAGGTTACGGGTGTGTTCCGCAACGCCATTGATATCGCGTGTTGTATATTTTAGAACGCGAGCGCTTTTAACACGCCAAAAACACGGAGAAACTGGTCCTAATACAACCACTATAGAGATTGCTGCAACCTATTTCACAGGCATTCTCTTTCTCTGTAAATGCAAGACATTACTAAAAGCAAATAACAGAGCGGGACATACCCGTAATCTTCATGAAAGTCGACCAGCACAACAAACTTGTGAATGGAAAGTGAGCTATTTTTTTGGGGATATTAACGTGAACCTAACCGGCAACTTCATATTCTTCTGTGAGTTATAAGTAATCCTTAAGTGATCCTCATGACACTAGAGATAGCTTTATAGGTGCTTAGATTCCCCATTCATCATATACATAGGCTTTTTTAAAAATGCGGATTGTGTACATTTTATTACCTGGCATATTTCGCTCTATCTGGTCAAATGTATAACTACGGAGTTTTCTCAACATATAATCAAGCACAAACCAATGAATACTTTCCCATAAAATATGCACATCAAGTTGCAATGCCACCCGGTACCCCACTATGCTGAAAGGTACCATCAGGATTTTAAGTCTGCGCTGGTTGCTAGAGATTGGGACAGAGCGCTTATGGGAGTGTTCTAAGAGCTGTGACGTTGGTCCTCAATCCAACTGAACTTATCGGTTACCTCATACCCCTTCCCATGCCCTACTCCCACCCCGTCCCGCCCCACTCCCGGAAAATTCAAAATAAGCCACGCAGTTAACCGTGAAAATTGTCGAAGTCACCACAAACAAAACTAAAGTCAAAGACCGGCTGGTACGTATTAAGGTAGCAATTTAAATTGTCAAGACACACAGAAAGAATTTATGATACCTATTGGCAGACTTAGAAGACTTAAGAAACAAGAAGAATGTCTGGGTAACCACTGGTATCAACAGTTACAAGACAGAGAAGAGGGAGCTATATTGGACAAATTCTGAGAAGTGAGATACAGAGGTTCATCAAACGGACACTGAAGTGAGAAATAGAGGGACTGAGGAAACCAGTTAAAATTGAACAGATCGACATAATTGCACTGGGCATATGGCTCGGTATCTCTCTGTAAAAAAAGCTAGCCGTCTGCCGAGAGCATCACACAAAGCACGAACTCCGTAGCTCTGGAAATGATCCAGAGGGTTCTCCTTAAAACTGCATTCGTGAACTAAACGACGCAGCAGTGAAACGAACTTACGACCTCCAGAGGGCAAGGCAAACGGTTGACCACTTCGCCACGGAGATTAAAGAAGCCAAAGGTGCTGCTCTGTACTGTGCGAAAGGATTACCCATGATAGAAAAAAAAAGGGGGGGGGGGCGCTGTGAGCCCTATGTAGCATATAATGACACAACGGCACAATGAACGAAACAATTAAATGTTGAACTCTATATAATTTTAGAACCAAATTGCGTATTATCAATTGTAATGTTACTTCCCTGGGGTAGGAGCCTGTCCTACTACTAGGCGCGTCCACCAGGTGGCGGATGGTGGAAAGGCCTCTAGATATAGAGGTTAGCCACGAATATATTGAATAAGTGGCCGTGGACCAAAACAGGTGATAGTCATTGAGAGGAGGCGAGTTAGTTGGTGGGACAGCTAACTCTATAAAATACCTCAAAACTCTACGACATGGCCATCGGCGGGTAGGAGGCGCCATAACCTCTCCCTCCTGCTGCCTTGCAGGGTAAGTCTTTTTAGACAAAGGCTATTGGAGTCAAACCATATACAAACCGGCGGAAGGCAAGGGGAAACCACCGCTGTACCATCCCAAGAAAATCATGCCTCAAAATAATACGTATTCAGATAACGACGTGAATGGGGATTCCGGTGGAATCACCTCGTCCGGTAGGGAGCATCATGTTCTACAGGTGATACCCGACCGTCATCCAGCTACTGTAGAAAAAGTTAATGGTAGAACCATCATGAACATTGGTACATGGAATGTCAGAACACTCGTGCAAAACGGAAAACTGGATAACATCAAGATGGAAATGAAGAGAATGAACATCAACATACTAGGAATTAGTGAAATGCGATGGCCAGGAGCAGGGGAAAAGTATTCAGATCAGCACAGAATTATCTACTCGGGATAGAAAGAATATAGCAAGGGAGTTGGTATTATTTTGGATCCAAAGAACTCAAAAACTGTTAAAGGATTTTGGACAATATCAGATAGAGTACTATTAGTAAAACTTCGCGGCAGACCGTTTGACATCAACTTAGTACAGATTTATGCCCCAACAGCAGATAGTTCAGAGGAAGACATTGACGCATTTTATGATGAGTTAGACATGGATGTTGATCAATGCAAAAATTGTGAAGTAACAATGGTACTTGGAGATTTCAACGCAAAAGTAGGAAGTGAAAAAGTGTACGGAATAACGGGTGGATATGGACTAGGAGAAAAGAATGTGAGAGGTGACAGATTAATAGCATGGGCCTAGTCGCGCAGCATGATAATAGGTAACACCTGGTTTAAACACCATCCTCGAAGATTGTGGACTTGGAAAAGTCCTGGTGATAATGTCCGCAATCAGATTGATTATATTTTGATTTCAAGAAGATTTCAGAGCAGCTTAGTTGGAGCTAAAACTAGACCAGGGGCAGACTGCTTTAGTGACCATGTTCCAGTTGTAGGAAAAATTAGAATAAAACTAAAGAACATTAGAAAAACACCACAGAACATCAAGTTAAATTTAGGAATTCTTAGAACGGATAAAGAAATTAAGGAACAGTACAACGTCACTGTACAAAACCGGTATAATGCAATGGAAATTATACAAACAATTGATGAACAGTGGGATATGTTGCGTGAGTCAATTCAGCAGACATCAAAAGAGACAATCCTACCAACCCATACAGTTGCAAAAAAGAAATGGATGTCAACCGAAATTCTGCAGTTGATGGATGAAAGAAGGAAGAAAAAGAATGATAAAGAAGAATACTCTAGAATACAAAAAGAAATAGTGAACAAATGCAAAGTGGCTAAAGAAGCCTGGCTGAATCAAATGTGTACAGAGATTGGGGAAAATCACGGGAAAGACTCACATTCCATGTACCAACAGATAAAAATGTTAACAGGAAAGATGACACGTAACAGCACTGGATGTTTGATATCAAAGGATGGTGACTTATTAATGGGACATAGTAATATAATTAACAGATGGACAGAGTATATAGGGAAATTGTATGATGATAATAGACCAGACGTAGAACTGCAGAACAACAATGATGGTCCACCAATAATGACTGCAGAAGTTGAGGATGCAATACATGATATGAAGAAAGGAAAAGCACCCGGGCCAGACAACATCTCACTGGAAGAAATCGAAGCACTGGGAAATTTTGGAATTGAAATAATAACTAAACTTTTAAATGATATTTATAACAGTGGGTATATTCCAAATGACCTTTTAAAATCCATATTTATAGCTCTGCCGAAGAAACCAGGCACTTTAAAATGTGAAGACCATCGCACAATAAATCTTATGAGTCACATGACTAAGATTTTACTGAGAATAATTATGAGAAGAATAAGAAACAAAATTAAACCAGAAATCAGCGATGAACAATATGGATTTGTAGAAGGAAAAGGTACAAACAATGCCATATACATCCTAAGGACATTGTCAGAAAGAGCTATAGAAGTAAAGACTGATTTGTACTTATGCTTCATAGACTATACAAAAGCATTTGACTGTGTGAAGCATGAAGAAGTAATCAAACTGTTAGAAAAATTAAACATTGATGGGAAAGATCTAAGAATAATAAAGAATATGTATTGGCAGCAAACAGCAGCTATAAGAATTAACAACTGTTTAGGTACATTTCAAAGCATAAAGAGGGGCGTACGACAGGGATGTGTACTTTCACCTGATTTGTTTTCAATATACAGTGAATATATTATGAGATCTTTAATTGATATGCCCGGAATCGTGGTTGGTGGGCACAATATAAACAATTTACGTTATGCTGATGACACAGTCTTGATAGCAACAAGTCAGAAAGAATTACAGGAAATGATAGACATCGTGGTGTTAGAAAGTGAAAGAATGGGCCTCAGTTTGAATAATGGGAAGACAGAAGTAATGGTGGTATCAAAGAAACAAATTATTCCTAAATGTGTAATAAAAGTCAATGGTGTTATTTTAAGACAAGTACAGAAATTTAAGTATCTGGGCACATGGATAACATCAGATGGAAGATGCATAACTGAAATAAAAAACAGAATTGGACAGGCAAAAACTGCATTTTATAAAATTAAAAACATCTTGTGCAATATATCCTTGTCATTGAGAGTTAAAAAAAGAATTCTTGCTTGCTACATACATCCAGTTTTAACATATGGATGTGAATCCTGGACAATCGGTAGGCAGGCCAAACAATTTTTAGAGGCCTCAGAGATGTGGTTTTACAGAAGAATGCTTAGAATACCTTGGACAGCCAAAAAGAGCAACCAAGAGGTTTTAAAAGAGGCGGGAGACCGAAGACAACTTATCACTGACATCAGAAGGAGACAGTCATCATTTTTCGGCCATGTTATGAGAAGAGGGAAAATAGAACATGTTGTGACCACTGGAAAGATCTGTGGAAGGAGGGATAGAGGAAGATAACGAGAGAAGATGCTTGACAGTCTTGTTGCATGGCATGGAGGTGTGTCGGCACACGAACTGATACATGCTGTAGGCGATCGCGGATTAGGGAGAGGCATGATCGCCCACGCCAGTCGGCAAGGCACCTGATGATGATGATGAATGTTACTTCAGTTATAACATATGTCATGAAAGTACGAGGCCCACTAATAACATCAAACGGAATTTGGAAAGCAAATGTCTACGGAAATTTATAAACATTAAATAGAGTGAATTCAAGAAAGGTGAATAAGTGAGAGAAAACTCTTGACAATCTCTAGTATCAACAGTTTTAAGTCAATGAATAGAATGAAATAGTGAGCACTTCCAGTGGAGAACTGAGTAAAGAATCTGAAAAGTCACTGTATTGGAAAACTAAAGTATGGAGAAAACAGGAACATCTACCACGACGAACGTTAATGAGAGAGGCCAACAGTTCTTGACTACATTCGATCTATGATATTGAAACCGTTGCACAGGATACAAGGTTAGTTGCGTATCCTTTACAGGACGTTGTAGAACCAACCTGCGTGTGAGCTTTTTCTAGGCAAATTTACGTCCAGTAGTTAGCCATTGCCTCTGGACGGTCGGCTTTCTTGATACCACTGTCGAAACCAACGCAAGGCGCATGGCCTGCAGCTGGGATCGAACCCTGCATCCCGGCATTACGAAGCGTTCACATCGACTTAGCCACAGAGCCGACACACAGGATACAACGGATTGGAAAAATAAACTGCAGTGACTTTATGATGGGGCGGCGTCAGTGGCTTATGCGTTGCGAGTCCGACTCGTAATTCCAACGTATAGCGATCGAAACCCACTACTGGCTGGGTATACTTTTATCATGGTATGGGGCGTAGCAAGTCGACCCAGCCTAAAATTTGTACCAGGATGGCTGTCTTGAAGAAGTTAAGACGGCCGGCGTAATGCTGACCACATTACCCACCTAGTGCCGATGGTCTGTAAAAATATGGGTGCTCTTCCCATATACCCGATGCTCCTGGGACGTGAAACGGGATCTTTACTTTACCTTCTTTATGATTTCTGACAGCACAACATGAAATGCTGAAATGGGGATTTTATACAATATTTTTGTTTTGTTTATCTTAACAAAAGTCTATTGACGGCCTTATCGACGACGATGATGATGTTATTAGGCTGTGTTAATCTAAGCAAAGCCTAATGCCGTCGTCATAGGTGGTTATGATGCAGTTTGTAAAGCACCACGACACTGTTGGCTTTACACAAATGCTCCTGTTTTAAACCAAGTGACCACATAAATCATAAAAAGATACGGTACGAATCTGACAGATATTTTATATAGAACTTTACCCAAACGTAACTCAATATGAGAAAGATGCGGGTGATGTTTAGAAAGGTCTTATCATGTGACTGTTAATCTTTGTACAGCCATGTGAAAAGAACGCACCCGTGACTTCAGTTCAGCGAAGAAATGACGTCAAAATAGTCTTTCTACCGTCATAGTTATTTAAATTGTATCTTGTGTGTTTGTCGGCTCTGTGGCTAAGTCGATGCGAACACTTCGCTTCGTAATGCCGGGATGCCGGGTTCGATCCCAGCTGCGGGCAATGCGCCTTGCGTTGGTTTCGACAGTGGTATCAAGAAAGCCGACCGTCCAGAAAGCAATGGCACACTACTGGACGTAATTTGCCTAGAAAAACCACACAACAGCCAGGGGCTGTTAGGGTTGGTTCTGCAACGTCCTGTAAAGGATACGCAACAACCTTAAACCTTGTGTGTTTAACTAAAAGAAACTTTGGCCGGGTAATCCTTTCGGCAACTGAAATACTGTAAAATCAGAATTGATTCATAGGTACTGATCGACATATGAAATTCTACCTGTTTAATAAATTTAAGATATGAAATACTAATAAATGTAATGTTAGAATTAGTCAATCCACTTGTTGCAGGTTCGACATTTGTGTAGCAGAAAAATAGAATGAATTTGGTATATATCAGCAAGGCTGTGCGGTAGATTCTTTCAGCAAGATGCAAATCTTCGCAAATTTGCCCCTTAAATGTTCAGATTGCTTGTGGGGGCCCCAAAGACACCCATTTACATGATATCAGGTTTTAATTCGTGAAAATCACTTGAAATACATCCTTGTCTGGGTTCCGGGTTCTCATTGTAGAGAAAACAAGAAGAGACCCATTGCCTTTCCAACAAGCATGTTGGAGGAGTCCACAAATTGGGGGTTTTATTCAAAGTCGGAGTGCATCTGCCTGAGAGGCAAGAAACCAACAGTCTTCATACAAATAGCAAGATCTGTAAAACGGATGCCTACGTAAATCTCAGGTCCTGGAACAAATCTAAAGTCCAGAAATGGACGAACAACCAGGTCTTTCCTTTGGGGTTAACAACATATGAACGCAAACAACAACTTGAAATACACGCATTCGCATGGGTCTCTGTGCTCGTGGACGTCTAAGAATATATGACAGAATATTAAATCTGTCGTTACCTGAATAATTAAAGCATCTCCAATAATTGACGCTTCAAGTCTTACTAAGATTATTCACAACCACTCATTTGGACAGCAGACGATACTTGTGCATAAATAAACGTAGAAGTTTGTAGATCCACCGGACTTTCACTCTTCCAGCGCCACCAGACAACACTGTCCCATGATGGAAAACGAGACTAAATCTTCTCATTCTTTTCAAGTTTGAATACAATTTTCCTCTCAGATTCTGAAACGTTTCACACACGATTCTTGCTTCTTTTCATCTGGCACAATTTCAGCCAACTTGCACAAATGTCTCGAGTTATTCATTACTGCAAACATTATCCTTTGTACTCGATACTATTTAACCGAATTCCAGTGCATAATTAATTTTTAGTATTTAATCTCATTTACAAATGATAACATTCATTAACGATGAAAAAATGGCTTCGTTACACTCCTGAAGAATTTTTTGCATAATAAAGAGCAACTATGAGAGGACAAATCCTTGTCTGACACCTGATGTGACTGGGAACCAATCTGTTATTTCCTGTTTTGATTTGATTTAATTTGATTCAAGAAGCGACATCACAGCACTCGAGGCATTCCTAAGCGCTCCGTCCCCATCTTCAGCAGCCAACGCAGAGTTCCAATGCCAATGGTGCCAGCGGCAGTCTGATTACATGTCCCTCTTGTGATTCCTCTGAAGGTCGAGTATAGCCCCTCTTCACTCCTCGCTGCCTCATTATCACTAGACTGTGATGATCAATTTGCAGTTCCTAATTATACACGTGCTCCCACAAGACCTTAACCGCGTCTGCCTTATTATGTATCAATAATCCACCAAGTGTGCAGAGTCAGCCCACTGTCCGCCTGTTCATTTACCAACACACCGGCATATCCCAGAGAATAGATCATTTCCTATGTGGTTCTTACTGTGCACTGCTTGTCTTGATAAATAGCCATGATATTAACCTACATGTGGCCTTGTATCCCATTAACGTAGTAGTACCAACCTGGTTAAAACTATATTTTGTAATGGAGGCTTGGAGGGGGGGGGTGTGGGCGTGGGGGAAGGGGGGGGGGGTAGAGAGTCTCTACAACAAGCTTACTTCAACTGATGCAAGTTCCACTCCTCAGAACCCAGGCGATTTCAACGACAATGCATTTAGATTCAACGATCAAGAACATCAACGAACCAACAAAGAAGAAAGTCAAGGTACCAGCGAACAGCACAGAAAACCAAACCAACAAACTGCCAGGTAGCTAGTCAACAAGTGAACGAACTAGCCAAGCAGCTAATCAATCAACCAACCAGATAATCAATCAGCCAATCAATCAACCAAAACAGCTAACCAATCAGACAACCAACCAGAAAATAAATAAATCAACTAACAAGCCAACTAATCAATCAATCAAATAGTCAATCAATCAATCAAATAGTCAATCAATCAATCAATCAAATAGTCAATCAATCAATGAATCAAAAAGTCAATCAATCAATCAAATAGTCAATCAATCAATCAACCAGTTAGCCAAAGAATGAATGAACCATTGAGTAAACCAACGAGCCTATCAATCAACCAAAACAGCCAAAGAATCAATTAACCAATCAGAGAACCAATTAATCAACTAACCAGCCAACTTGTCAATCAACCAACCAGCCAGCCAACTAATCAAGCAATCAGCTAGGAAATCAATCAGCCAAGCAGCCAATCAGTCAACAAGCAAATGTCTGGACACCCAACTGTATCGAGTGCAATAAGACCAAGAAGGTGGAGATATAATAGGCCCACTCTGAGATGAAATGAGGAAAGATTTACAAAACAAGTACTGAAAAAGGAAATAAACAGTTTGAGGGGGGAAAAAAGTACGTCCAAGGGAAAACATTAGGACGAGAGATTAAAAATGCTTGGCTGAATTCCATGTTAGAAATCGAGAAAATCGCTGCAACACACAATCAGTGTTCGAAACCGGGCGACTTACGGAGTTCACCCAGCCTCTAGGAAATGGGTACCAGAGTTGACACTATGGGGTAAATTGAGGAACGTCGCTGTAGCAACAGAGTTACTTGCGGAGGGCGACACAGGCGGACAATTCTTATCAGCTGTCTGTACTGGTTTCAGAGCACTTATGGTTTATAACCATGTGAAATGACGCTGGTTCACATCTCCCGACTTTACCTTTACCTTTTTGACACGCCAGATGAAAATTGAAAAGACAATTTCCCTATGTTTAGGTTCCAGGTCCCCGCTATGGGGAAAACAAGAATAAACCCCCTACCACCACTACAAGCATGTCGTAAGAGTCGACTAACTGCTTCTTCCGTCATGGTCAGGATGCATCTGTCTGAGGGTAAGGAACGGA